CATCACCTACAAGAAAAAGAAAAAAAGGAAATTGTAAGGAAAAAACATTTCATATAAATAAATTAAACATAATTATATATAAAAAATGATAAAACAAGAGCTATAAAAAAAATCTCCGCAGAGTTCGCAGAGATCAATTGTGCGGAGTACGGAGAAATTTTCAGAGTTTTTTTTGGGAAAAAAACACAACCAATAAACAAATATAACAAATACAAGCACAACGAGATAATAAACTAAAAACTATAGAAACGCAAACACGAATAACTTTTTCTTTAAAATGTAGAAGTAAATAAATCATACTAAAAGCATTTCCATCACAACAACAAAAGCCTCTACTTCATAGAATTTTGTAACAGGAAAATGAGCACAAATTTTAGAAGATGACAAAATATAAGTATTTCTTTTACCAATTTTTTTCTGCATATTCAACACTCACACTCATTCCCCTTATTCAAAATATTGATTAGCATCATGAAAGAAAAAATTTTGAAAAAAAAAAGGAAATTGTAACGAAAAAAGCATTTCATGTAAATAAACTATATTATATAAAAAAGACCGCTATAAAAATAAAATAAAAAAATCTTCAAACAATTCGCCAAGGTCAATTCATATCTCCGAACTGTGCGGAGAGATCACTCTTCCCTCCGCACTCTCCATACAGTGCGGAGTTTTCGGATTTTTTTCTAAGAAAACAGCCAATAAATAAATTAAAACACGACAGAGATTGACAAACTAAAAACTACAAATAAACTAAACATAATTATTATATAAAAAAATAACTACAGATTTAGCTTGTTCAAACTGCTAAGAAAAAAATTAGTAAAACTAATTTCTTTGAAGTGTGTAGAGAGTTCTGAACTTATGTGCCATCTCTCCGTGACACCTAATTTTTTATTTATTTATTTTATTTTTAGACAAAATATGATCAAAACAAATACAAGCACAAAAAAAAAAAAAAGCATAAACACTACTAAATATCAACATGTTAAACTAAAGGTCCTTAAACGTCGATCAGAATGAGGTTGCACTCATGCATCAAATTTTTCAGTTGATGATTCTCAACACACGTTTGCTTTCTCTTTCTTTCACAAGTTCGCCTATTCTTAAACCAATCACCAACATTTTTTTTTCAAAAATAATAGGACTATGTAGCGATAATGTGGAGACTATATGTAGAATTTTACATTATTTGGACATTTATTTCCTCCATCAAATATGCATCGAAGAAAATCAATTTCTGTAGATGTAGGTATCCAATATTGTTGTCTTCCCATGCTGATAGTAAGCTAAAAAGCAAAAAAAAAAAAGGGATAATCAACGTTGAAACCTTCAAAGGTGAAGTGAGAATATCTGAAATGTGGGCCAAAAAATATAGAATTCACCAAAACGAAAAAAAATAAATCAGAAATGAAGATATCAAAAAAAAAAAAAAAATGGGTA